AACAAACAAAATGCACATCTCCCATCAAGAGTTTGAGGCTTTTGTGTCTGCATGGATTATCTTTTTTTTTTAAAGATTTATTTTTATTATTTTTTCATTGGAAAGGCGGATATACAGCGAGGAAAGACAGAGAGGAAGATCTTCCGTCCGATGATTCACTCCCCAAGTGAGCGCAACGGGCCGATACCATGCCGATCCGAAGCCAGGAGCCTCTTCCGGGTCTCCCACGCGGGTGCAGGGTCCCAAAGCTTTGGGCCGTCCTCGACTGCTTTCCCAGGCCACAGGCAGGGAGCTGGAAGGGAAGCGGGGCTGCCGGGATTAGAACCGGCGCCCATATGGGATCCCGGGCGTGAAAGGCGAGGACCTTTAACCACTTGCGCCACCGCGCCGGGCCCTGCATGGATTATCTTTTAAAACCTTGCATCGGGCCCGGCGCGATGGCATAGTGGTTAAGATCCTCACCCTGCACGCCCGGGATCCCATATGGGCGCCGGTTCTAATCCCGGCAGCCCCGCTTCCCATCCAGCTCCCTGCCTGTGGCCCGGGAAAGCAGCAGGGGACGGCCCAAAGCTTTGGGACCCTGCGCCCGCGTGGGAGACCCAGAAGAGGCTCTTGGCTTTGGATCGGCATAGTATTGGCCGTTGAGCTCACTTGGGGAGTGAATCATCGGACGGAAGATCTTCCTCTCTGTCTTTCCTCGCTGTATATCCGCCTTTCCAATAAAAATAAATCTTAAAAAAAAAATACAAAAGAAAGCACCTTGCATCAAAACAAACATACTTTAATTTTTAAAAAAAGGTTTTTAAAAAATTATTTGGAAGGTAAAATCCCAACAAGAGAAAAAGGCAAGAAAGAAAATCTTGCATTTGTTGGCTCACTCTCCGAGTGGCTGCCAATAGCCAGGGCTGGGCCAAGCCTAAGCCAGGATGCTAGGCCGTCTTCTTTCTATTGCTTTTCCAGGCACTCGAGCAGGGGACTGGATTGCAAGCAGAGCAGCCAGGACTCAAACTGGCACCTATATGGGTCGCTAGCCATGCTGCAATGCTGGTGGGGGATATTCAGCCTGGAAACTCAGGCTTCTGTTTCATCACTCCTACATGCTTGGCTTGACCCAGGTTTCCTGAAACTGTGTTCCTTTGGATGATTTTCCAGCTCCTTTCCTAGCTTAAAGGTTAGGTGTTGGTGTTTTAGAAACAAAGTGAGGAATGTGCATGAGAGTTGAGGCAGTGTAAAAAAGGAAGGCAGCAAGAGAAAGGAACTCACCACCGTTGTACCACCTGTCGGTAGCAGATAGAGGTCTCCTCTTCCAGTTCTTATTCACACGACCCAGTGTAGATGCAGGAATGTCCTTCCCCTGTGTTCTGATTCTTTTTGTTCATTACAAGTGAAGTTACTGTTGAAGTTTATGGCCGAGGGATACTCAGTTAACCAGTTAACCAAGCAGGCTGGGATTCAGCATCTGCATAATTGAACCTATAATGGCAGCCTTTCCTCCACTGGAGGGAGTGTTAAAGACGGAAGGATGGGAGCAGTGCAGAGGGACAAGAAGTGATCAGAAGATTCAGCTGCAGCAGCACAATGGGCTGTCCCATGGGGAGCTGCTTTTCTGTATTTGGAGGTACAGTGAGCCTGGGCACCTGCACCTCCCCTCTGTGTGATGACACAGAGCAGCAGCTACCCTTTCCGCTTGCCGAGCAAGGTCAGCCACAGTTCGTAGCGCTTGTCTTGGGGTGTCACGGGCATTCCTGTTATTAACTCCAGGATGTGATAGGATTATACCCACTTTACAGATGAGGAAGCCTGGCTCCACATACCTCCCCCTCAACTTCATCATGGCAGATGGAGGTGCTAAGCCCCAGTGCCACGCTAGAGGTGCTGTGCTTTGTACTCCTGAGAGCCTGTCCAGGGTGACTGAAGCGTAAAGCAGCTCACTGCCCTGCAGCAGGGACAGTGAAAGGAAGTGAACCCCTGCAGTCTCCCAGAGCCACTCCTTTCCCTGCCTGATGCCACTGCCTTGAAAGTGGCAGAAAAGAACTATGTGGTATCACAGTCAGTGTCCAGCCGGCAGACAGAAGCCACTGTAGCGATCCAAGCAGGAGGGTTGATGACAACAATGCTGGCAGGCTGGAAGCCATCCCTCCCCGCCTGCCAAGTGAGAAGCTGGTGTCAGCCAGAGAGCCGGAAGCCACCATCCTGCATGGGCTGCAGCTTGGGCTTGTCACAGAGCTGCTGGAGGTGCCATGGCTGCTGATGGAGTCACACGTACACACCCCTGTGTTGTCTGCCACCACTGCAGCCTCCCTCTGAAGGATTAAAATGATGTTGGCTCCTTGCCTGTCCTCTAGTCTTCCACTGACACATGCATGATCGCAAGTTAACTGAGAGGCCAGGGAGGGGGAGCGAGTCTGAGGCTGTAGCCCCAAGGAGTAGAGTTGTGATCCAACAGCGTGGGCAGCATGCCCGGTTCCTCCGCTGTGGTCAGCTCTGTTCCTTGGTGTAAGGCATGAGCCAGTCTGACATGACCTGGCTGCAGAGAGTCTGCAGTAGGCTAACCACACACAGAAAGCTGCTCAGGGTCTCAGCTGTCTTCATCACTCATTTATTAATTCAGGAGATCATTGAGGGCAGGTTTCCTAATAAGGTCCTTGGCAGTCGTTTTTGGAAACAACCTGAAGAGAAAGGCAGGTGATGAGACTTCCGCTCTCAAATCGATGCAGTTCCTACTATGCAGCTGGGAGAGATTGCTTTTAGTAGAAGGAAAAAGCATGTCAGTTTAGTTTACTGTTCCCCCTACTTGTCACGTGTAGTTCTATCACTTTCCAGCAAGCAAGAGACTTGCACGATCTGCTTTTCGATGCTTTATTCTTATACAAACAACAGACAAATTCAAACTCTTACAGTCACCTAACTCACATGCTAATTCCCACATCCACCTTCAGTACTAAGTCTTTTATCAGCTCCCTAACTTGGAGGGGATGTCCTGAGGCTGTTGTGCTAACTTGGTCCCTGGAACAGAGAAAGGTGAAGGAGAGGCAAGGGTGGTGTTAGAGCAGGGCCGGGTTCTCTCTTCGGCTTGAATTCAGAGCACATGAGACAGGGTCTCGTGTCTCAACAAGCAGTTTGCCTGCTCAGCTGAGCTCTTTTTTATAAGACTTATTTACTTTTTGGGCATGGCGCAATAGCGTAGGCCTCGCCTTGAACACGCTGGGATCCCATATAGGCATTGGTTCTAATTGCACGAGTTCCACTTCCCATCCAGCTCCCTGCTTGTGACCTGGGAAAGCAGTTGAGGACAGCCCATAGGCCTTGGGACCCTGTAGTTGTGGGAGACGCGGAAGAGCTCTTGGCTCTTGGCTCCTGGCTTCGGATCGGCGCAGCACCGGCCATGGCGGTCACTTGGGAAGTGACTCATCGGACAGAAGATCTTTGTCTCTCCTCCTTTCTGTATATCTGCCTTTCCAAAAATAAATCCACCAAAAAAAAAAAAAAAGAAAGGAAAAAAGAAAGGCAGACACACAGAGAGGAGGAGGAAAGATGGATAGATACAGAGGAAGATCCTTCGTCTGATGAGTCACTCCCCAAGTGGCCATGATGACTAGATCTGAACCAACCTGAAGCCCGGAGCCGGGAGCCTCCTCCTGCTACCCACCCTCCTCCTGGTGGGTACAGGTTCCCAAGGCCTTAGGCAGTCCTCAGGTGCTCTCCTTCCCAGGCCACAAGCAGGGAGCAGGATGGAAAGCAGAGCAGCTGGAATTAGAACCGGTGCCCATATGGGATCCCTGCACGTGCAAGGCAATGACTTGAGGTTCCTTTTTATATTCACTGGGGCTCCATCTCTCGTCAGCTTCTCTTGTATCTCCCCCTTACAGACTGGTGAGAGGGGACTAGACGTTATCTTGTTTTACACTCCTTACAGGCTAGTCCCATTCCACAGACAAGTCCTGACATGCCTCTCGGTACTGCTCCTCACGCTAAGTTACACACAGTTACATCTCTTTAACTAACGTTTCACACATTTCGTGTGCAAGTGGAACATTATGTCAGGTAGTATTCCAAATATTTCACATTTTGAGGTGATGGCTATATACAAAGATATTTTAAAGTACATATTGTTATGCTTATCACACCCCCCCCCAAAGAAAATAGCAAAATTCTAATGGGGGGAAATAAAGTGAATAGGAGGTAAGACTTCTTAATGGAAAGAGTAAATATAATAAGAACATCATTTCTTTGATTAACATGTAAATTTAGCATGACCATCACAGGCATCTGTATTCATTGAGACAAACTTTTGCCTTTAATCACGCGTAGTGAATGGTACTCCTCTAGTGATGGTCTTGGAGTGTTAACAGGCTTATCTGGGGACCCAGGCTCCCTCTCCATATACAATGGCCAGGGCTGGGCTGGGCCAAACTGAGGTCAGGAGCTTCTTCCAGTTCTGCCACATGGTTGCAGGGGCCCAAGCCGTTCTCGGCTACTTTCCCAGGCACATTAGCAACGAGCCAGATCAGAAGTAGAGAAACCAGGATTTGAACCCTTGGTGGTTTAGTGTACTGTGTCACAATGCCAGCACCCCTCGCCCCATATGCTCTTGCTCAGTTCCTCCAGTGGTGACACTTTGTGATACCGTAGTAGTGTGTCACACCTGGGACATTGACAGGGAGATGCCAAACGTGCCCAGCAGCACAAGCATCCATTGTGTTTCCTCGTTGCACCTGCCTCTTCCCTCCATAATCCTTGACACCCATGTAGCTCTTCTCCCCTCCCGTAACTTGGTCATTATAAGAATGGGAGCAATCATGCAGTGAATAGCGATCTAGTGTTGGCTCATCATAACCTCATGGGTTCATCCAAACTGTTACATGTGTCAGTCATTCATTCCTTGTTGTCGCTGCCTAGTAGTCTGTTGTGGAGCCACCATGGAAAGCCCTCAGAAAAGTGTAATCTGCCTCACCCTTCCCTCTTCCTTTTCCGCACTGTCCATTTCCCTCTCTTGACAGCAATGCCAAGTGAGCACAACTGTGTGAAACTGAGAAGTGACTGCTCCAGGCCCCCTCTGCAATGGTACCCTCGAGCTCAGAGTAAAATGAGAAGACCCAGCTTGTTGATAAAGGACATCTTCAAGTAAGTGCCTCCCTGGGCCCCCCATTTCTGGGCCTGATAATGTAGAACTGGGAGAGAGATCTCGCCTTTCCTGACAGCTGATGTTGGAGATGCGCCCTGGGTCAGAGGCCTGGCAGAATGCACCTGTGATGGCTGACTCAGCGCACAGATGGAAGGAAAGTGCAGAGAGCCACTCTCACCCACATGCCGCTCTCCTTGCTGTTATTTTTTAACAAAAAAGGGCTTTTCCCCCAGAGCTATTTTAAGTTCATCTAAAGCATAGTTAATTACAGTTCCCTAAAGGCACTTGAATATCATTAAGTCTGGAATCTTGAAAAGGACAAGTGTTGCAGCCTGGTCATTCTTAGATCCCATTCAGTGGGGTGGTTAATGAAGAAGGAAGTTGGCAGGTTTTTTTCATTGGGAGTAGCCAAAGCAGTCTTGGAATGACTCCTTTCTGTAATAAGAGAATCACAAGCAAATAGCCCAGTATATACTGCGATTTTTTTCCCTGTATTAAGAATGTATTCACATTTTTGAAAGGGAGAGGGACAGAGACACAGAGAGAAAGATTTTCCAACCACTAGTTCACTCCCCAGATGCCCACAACAGCTTAGGGCTAGGGCAGGCCACAGACAGAAGCCTGGAATTCCATCCAAACGCCCATGTGGGTGGTAGGGCACAGGGCACTTGGGTCATCTTCCGCTGGCTTCTCGGGCAGTTCAGCAGGGAGCTGGACTTGATCTGCAGCTCCAGTATAGGATGCGGGTTTCCCAAGGGGGTGGCTGAGCCCACTGTGCCACAACAGTTAGTTTAGACAAGTGGGCCTTTAAGGGGGTTGAGATCTAGGAGGTGTACGGTAGTGCCGCGTATTCAAGGGGATGGAGACCTGGGTCAGCAGTCATTCAAGGCATTCAGGGTGGACACAGTCCGGGAAGGTAGGGTCAGTCTGGGGTCACTCTTTGAGTCACCCCTTACAACAATGGCAACTCCCATTAGGGTTTTGGTTTTTTTTTTTTTTTTTGCTATAAACTCTTTTGATAAAGTTTATGGACTAGGCACTCTGAGAGATGCACAGCAACAAATAATGATAAAGTGGAAATTGATGGCCATGGACTGGACTGTCCAAAAAAAAATTATTTCGAATTTAGGGATTTTTTTTTCAGTATTTTCCAGCCAATATTTTTGGACTGCAGTTGACCACAGGTAACTGAAACTGTGGAAAGCAAAACCGCAGACAAGGGGGCTTATTGTATTACACACCCGCATACTGACACCTCTGCAGTGCTGGAAAGAGGAACAGGTGTGTTCACGAGGTTCCAAGTCTAAAAGTGAGGCGGCTCCGCCCCCTTTCCCCTTGCCCTCCCTCCCCATGTGAGGTGTGAGCTGCCGTGGGCAGGTGCCCCCTCCCTGGTTAGCATGCATTTTTACACCAATGGTAGAGGTAGTGTCCTGCTGCCTTCATAGTAGGGGAGGCTTGGGGGTTTGACTGAATTTTCACAAGAAGCTGAAATGAGAAGTTTGAAATCTTGAGAACACTCCACCCAGCATACTTCCTTCATGTTCTTCTTCATGGCTTTGGAAATATTTAGCACCTCTTATGTGTATTCTAGTATGTGGGTACTGTGTTGTCAAACCAACCATTTCTTTAGAAAATGGATTTGTTTTCCCCTCAAAATGTTCCTTGACATAAAAAAAATTTTTTTTTAAGATTTATTTATTTTTATTTGAAAGGCAGATTTACAGAGAGAAGGGGAGACAGAGATCCTCCATGTGCTGGCTCATTCCCCAAATGGCCTTCAAGGCCGGAGCTGAGCCAATCAGAAGCCAGGAGTCAGGAACCTCTTCCAGGTCTCCCACATGGGTGCAGGTTCCCAAGGCTTTGAACAGTCCTCGACTACTTTCCCAGGCCACAAGCAGGGAGTTGGATGGGAAGTAGAACAGCTAGGACATGAACCGGCACCCATATGAGATGCTGGCACTTGCAGATGGAGGATTAGCCAGTGGCACCATTGTGCCAGCGCCCCTAGTTTTGTGATCTTTAAAAAGCATAGATTTGTTTTAAGCAGTGTTTCTTAAACTTTGAGGCTTTTGTTTTGTTTTCTTGGTTGCTTGCTTGTTTTAGATTTATTTATTTACATTGAAAGGCAGCATTTGAAGAGAGGGAGGAACAGAGAGAGAAAGAAAGAGATCTTCCATCCACTGATTCACTTCCCAAATGACCACAACATCCAGAGCTGAGCTGATCTAAAACTAGGAGCCAGCAGCGTCTTCCTGGTCTCTGATCATCTGCTGCTGCTGTCCCAGAAGAAGGATTAGTAGGGAACAAGATTGGAAATGGAACAGCTGGGACATGAGCCAGTGCCCATATGGGATCCTACCCACTATGCCAAAACCCCTGAACTCTGTTTTTGGCCAGCCTCTAAACTCTCTTTAACTTTGTTTTTGTTGATGTTGACTGGAAAGCTCATTGAAAGTGAGATCTTTAGAATCAAGACTAGCCTTGGTTCTTTTCAATACCCAGTGTGTGTTAGACTGTGTATCCATGCAAATTCAGCAGAGTTTGAACAGCAGTGCTTGTCAATGGTGGGAGGGGTCAGTAGTGGTGTTGTTAGTCTCACGTCTGGTAGGATTCAAGCATTGTGAGTTTTTTGGGGGTTGTGATTTTTTTTAAAAGCACCGGAAGTATTTTAAATGAGCCAAAAGTTGAAGGTGAGCTTCTTAAATTCCAGTTTCTTACTTGTTTTCTTCAGCCCAGTAATCATCATGATTGAAATTATAATATGAAGCTCTTGTTTTTGTATTTGCCTGTGTTAAGCCATTGGTCAGGGAGCTAGGAAATGATACTTCCTTCCCACCCACCCACCCCAGCCAGCTGCTGCAATGTGGCTGGCTGTTGTGCGTGGGTCGTGCTCTGTCTGCAGGTTTGCACAGAGCTGCATCCTCTCACCTGTCTGATTGTTTCTTTGCAGGTGCTCATTGCTTGTGTTTGGCGTGTGGATCCTTTATATCCTCAAGGTGAATTATTCCACTGAAGAATGTGACACAAGAAAGGCGCATTATGTGGACCCCGAGCGCGTGAAGGTTAGAGCTGGCCTGGGTGTGGTGTCAGTGCAAACACGCTTGAGGATTCCCACAGGCTGGACCCTCATCCTCATCCCCGTGTGGAGGTTACTACTCAAAGCTGGAAAGGCAGGGAAACCCTGAATCTCAGCCCTTCTAAACCAGAACCAAACACAACACTCCCTGACCAAGAAAAAAAAAAAACAACCAGCTAGCTTAACCCAGCCAGTCCAGCCTAGAGAGTTCTCCCGCTGGCTGGAGTGGGCACTATTCATTACGCCCCTGGGTACTGAGAGTTCATTTTCCTCCGAGCTGTCTCTGTGTGTGCTTTAAGTTGTTTATTTGTTTTGCTTTTTGCTTGAAAGAGTTACAAGACAAGGAGAGAGAGAAACAGAGAAAGATCTTCTATTCACTGATTTAACTCCCCAAATGGTTATAATGGCCAGAGCTGAGCTGGTCCCAAGCTGGAAGCCAAGAACTTCTTCCAGGTCTCCCATATGTGTCCATATGGACCCAAGCTCTTGAGCCATCCTCCATTGCTTTTCCAGGCCATAAGCAGAGAGCTGGATCAGAAATGGAGTAGCCGGGACCAGAAATGGTACCCAGATGGGATGCTGGCAGGTGGCAGGTCGGTTTGCTGCACTATCGTGCCAGCCTTGTGTACATTTTTTTTGTTTTTGTTTCTTAAAGATTTATTTATTTTTATTACAAAGTCAGACATACAGAGAGACAGAGAGGAAGATCTTCTGTCCGATGATTCACTCCCCAAGTGACCGCAATGGCCGGTGCTGCGCCAATCTGAAGCCAGGAGCCAGGAACTTCTTCCACATCTCCCACGCAGATGCAAGGTCCCAAGGCTTTGGGCTGTCCTTGACTGCCTTCCCAGGACACAGGCAGAGAGCTGGATGAGAAGTGGGGCTGCTGGCAGTAGAACCAGCGCCCATATGGATCCTGGCATGTTTAAGGTGAGGACTTTAGCTGTTAGGCCACCACACCAGGCCCCTGTGTACATTCTTAAAGGAGATGACAAAGAAACCCTCTCAGCATCAACTGTCATTTCTTCATTTGATTTGAATCACTTCACATTGAATTTCTTTTTTTTTTTTAAAGATTTATTTTTATTATTTTTTTATTGGAAAGGCGGATATACAGAGAGGAGAGACAGAGAGGAAGATCTTCCGTCCGATGATTCACTCCCCAAGTGAGCGCAACGGGCCGATGCTATGCCGGTCCGAACCTAGGAGCCTCTTCCGGGTCTCCCACGCGGGTGCAGGGTCCCAAAGCTTTGGGCCGTCCTCGACTGCTTTCCAGGGCCACAGGCAGGGAGCTGGATGGGAAGTGGGGCTGCCGGGATTAGAACCAGCGCCCATATGGGATCCTGGGCGTGCAAGGCGAGGACCTTAACCACTGCGCCACCACGCCGGGCCCCACATTGAATTTCAGAATGCTTCCCTCCAAGTAGTATTTTTTTTCCCAAATCTGTTGACATGTTACATACAGATTTCACTGACAGTTGTGACAAAACCAGCCCAGCAAGGAAGAAGGTAGCCAGGTAGAAACAGTGGCTGACACATGAAGATGCTTGCCATGCATTATTCCTTTTACTTGCTGTCCAGACTGTATCATCCCAGTCTCACCTCCATACTGCAGGTTAAGCTGTTCATCAGGTCCACGTCAAGGTCAGTGAAGTAATTCAGTCAGTCTCATTTGGCGCTTACTGTGTGCCAAGAACTGTTCTGCAAATGCATTAACAATATTGATTAATTTAACTTTTTTTTTTTCAAAGATTTGTTTATTTGAAAGACAAGTGGGGAAGAGAGAGAGAGAAAGCATCTTTCATATGCTGGTTCATTCCCCGCAGGCCGAGGCAGGAGCTCCTCCTGGGTCTCCCACATGGGTGGCAGGGGCCCAGGCTCTGCCACGTGCGTTAGCAGGGAGCTGGGTCAGGATGGAGCAGTTACCACTTGAATTGACACTCTGACAGAGGATGCCAGCATCTCAGGCAGGTGGCTGAACCTGCTGCTGCTTAACACCAGGCCCTCACCTAGCTCTCATCACTGTCTGGGAGGGCGGGGTGCAGGGACTCTGGTCCTCCCGATCTCACAGCTGAGGAAACTCAGGGCAAAGGAAGGGAGGAACCTGCCCAGGAGCACTTCAGCTGCTGAGTTGGGGACTGGGGCTTCATCTCAGGCCCGTGGCTTCAGGGTCAGGGCCACGGGCCACTCTGCTCTGCCCAGCTGCGGAGTTGCAGAGAAGCTAGGAGTTAAAGCCAGGCAGTTTCTCCCCAGATGCTAACCTGCCTGTCACTGGGTGAGGCTAAGACCCCCTCCCCTGTGCCCACTGTTAGAAGTCGTAGTTTCTCAGCTGTGAAATGTATCTATGCAAGAGGCTTGTTGATAAGGACTATAAATTTATAGAGAATTCTTTCCTGATTTGGATGCAGATCTTTCTGCTTTAATCTGTGAGTATTTGGGATGCAGGACACATAGACAGCCTTAAGCAGGAAATAAGCAGGAAATAAAGAAGTGAAGAACGTAATTCACAGTGCATGGCCTGGCACCACGAAGATGTTGGGTCACAGGGGTCTTGCTGGCCCGCCTCTCCTTGTTCAGAGTTCATGGGCTCATTTCATTTCATCGTCACTGGTCGGCTTCAGTGGCATGGGCCGTGTCTGGTACCCTCCGCTTGAGGTTTTTCTCCTGCTGATCCATCTGGCCTCGCCCCCAGCTCCCTTCTGATTCCCAGGCCTCTCGGCTCTCACGCGTAGTTTGCAGGCATCCTGTTTGTGGGCATGTCTGTTGTCTCCTGGGAGAGGCCTGTCATGCGCTTAGTACGATTCGATTTGCATGATGTGCTGGGAATTCACCCCTTGGTGTCTTTGCTGCACTGTTATATTCGTTCTCTCCTTCTGGTGTGTTGTGAAGTACCATCCAGCCAGCTGGATTGAGGAGGAGGGGGATTGTGCAAGGGCCAGGCATACCGTTTCCCCAGCGCCAGGAGGAGGTGTGTTTTCCCATCCTCCTGGGTGGAACCAGCTCAGCAACTTCAGCGCCCTAACTCGTTGCACTCAGCCTCCACTGGGCTGCATTAATAGACAAGGGGTAAGCTTCTTGTCCCTACCGTGGTCAGGCAACTGCTCTGAGTATTTTGACCATTCTGCTCTTTGAACACAAATTATTTATTCAAAAGAGTTACAGAGAGAGCTTTCATCCACCAGTTCACTCTCCAAACAGCCACAATGGCTGGGGTCACGCCAGGCCCAAGTCAGGAGCCTGGAGCCCCATCTGGGTTTCCCATGTGAGTGGCAGAAACCCAATCACTTGTTATTGTTCACTGCTTTCCCAGGTGCATTAGCAGGGAGCTGGATTGAAAGTGGCACATCCGGGTCTCAAAGCAGTGCTCTCAGATGGGATGCAGGCAAGGAGTAGTTTAACTTGCTGTGCCACAACACCCGGCCTTGTCCTTTCTATAATTTAAGCTTTCCCCTAAGGAATTCAAGTATCTCTTGAAAATTACTGGAGAGGGAACTCAAGACCACATCCTGGGGAGCCATGAAAGGGGAAGGAACTTCCATGGAATCAGTAGGAATCCAGGGCATGTGGTTGCCAGTATCAGCGAGCCAAAGACGCCACCCATGCCGGGCTGGGCCTGTTCTGGTGGCCATCATGGCACAGATATGGATCAAAGAAGGCAGCCCTGCTCAAGGGAGAGGGGCTTACTGGTGTGAAGGGTGCACGGTCAGATGTGTGAGCTGTCATTTGTAGTGTCCCCTGGGAGGGGTCCTGTAGGGAGCATTCGGGCATCTGACATGCAGGTGGCTTTGCAGTCTTTTGGATCCCCTCCAACCCTGTAGTTCTATGGCTCTCTGCCATTTGCCAGGACCTGACTTGCAAATATAGGCTAGTTTCATAACCAATTTTGTAACCCAGGACTTTCCCTGTTCTGAATTCTGGGTGGAGTCATCTCAACTGGAAAGCTCCACAGGACACTTGCTCTCAAGGCCACCTGTCACCAGGGGCGCCCTGTGCTTGCCTGACCACAGCCGGTGGGGTCTTCGTTTGTGGAAGCAGTGTGTCATTCTGTGTGAAAGGCATTGCTTAAAGCAGGGACCCTGCTTATGAGAACATGCAGCTTGTGAGATTGCACAAAAAGTAGTAGTGAGCCAAGATGGCTCTTGAGGATGCCCTGTTCTTGCCTCCCGCCATGTTCCACCCCGACCTGCCTTTCTGTAGGCAGGCAACCTCCACTGTGGCCATGGTCTTGTTGCTGAACATGTGACCTGCTTCCCTGCTTAACATTGGTTTCTCCCCAGCACCTGCAGGAGGACATTCCCCGGCCTAGTCTGGCCGCTCAGACTATGCCGGACTTGGTTCCTGCCTGTCTCTCCCCAGCACTGCCTCTCAGGTCCTCGGTGGAGCTTCCGTCATTCCCAGCACGCTGCTGGGACTTGGTTCTCCTACCACTGGGCTCACCCACTGAAGGCACGTGACGCAATGGTGTTTGCAGAGCCAAGCCCCATGGCTGCAATCTGAATTGAGAACATTTGTATCACCCTCGAGAACCTGTTTCCCTGCTCCTCTGAGTTTTAGGCAGTCACACATCTGCTTGCTGTCTCTGTGGGTTGGCCCATTTGGGACAGAATTCCTACAAGCAAGGCTATATACGGGAGGCTCCTTCCTTCACGTAGCACAGTGTTAATGGGTTTCATCCATGCTGTAGCATGGATCAGTACTTTTTATTCCCTTTTTAAAAATTATTTATTTATTTGAAAGAGTTATACAGAGAGAGAGACAAAGAGAAATTCTACCCGTTGGGTTCCTCCACAAATGGCTGGAACAGCCAGGGCTGGGCCAGGCTGGAGCCAGGGGCCAAGAACTCTGGGTTGGTCTCCCATGGGGGCGGCAAAGACCATCTGCAGCTGCTTTCACAGGAGCGGGGAGCAGGAAGCTAAATCAGAAGTGAAATAGGCAGGACGAGAACCTGGGCTCCCAGGGTTGCAGGCAGTGACTTAACCTGTTGGG